GACGTGATATCCCCGAAACTCTTCACCGCTGCATTGGAAGACGTTTTCAAGCTTCTGGACTGGAAAGGATACGGTATTAACATCAATGGCGTGTACATCACTCACCTTCGATTTGCCGACGATATAATCCTTATGGCAGAATCGCTGGAGGACCTAAGCACTATGCTCAATGACCTCAATAGTGCTTCCCAACGGATAGGTCTTAAGATGAACATGGACAAAACAAAGATCATGTTTAATGTCCTTGTCACACCTATACAGTTAGTTGTTGGGAGCACTAAGCTCGAAGTTGTTGACGAGTATGATTACCTGGGACAAATAGCCCGAATAGGTAAGTTCCGCAGTAGAACCAGAGTGACTGACATAGCGCAACGGATTAGTAAGCTGAAGTGGCAGTGGGACGGCCATATAGCTCGAAGAACCGACAACCGATGGGGAAGAAAAGTTCTCGAGTGGCAGCCTCGTACCGGCAGGTGAAGTGTTGGGCGTCCCCCCACTAGATGGAGTGACGACCCGGTAAGATATGCAGGAAGTCGATGGATGCAGGTGGCTTAGGACCGTGCTTTGTGGCATTCCTTGGGGGAGGCCTATGTTCAGCAGTGGACTTGTGAAGGGCTGTAATGATGATGATGATGATGACAAGGACTTTATCTCATTTTAATCACACTACACGGACATTAGTTAAAAAACCTTCATTCGTTTGTAGTCCTGAAAAATCTTCTGAAAATCACTAAAGGTTGTAAATTTTCATGAAATATGATAGTTTTTGAAAAATCTTGATTACCAATGGGTTAAGAATCGTTTGTAGATGATTGTAATACTAAAAGATTTTTATTGTAGGTTTTTTTTATTCTTATAAGAGTTATAATTTGAAAAAAATTGTAAAGATAATAAAAATTGATACATTTCTACAAACAAAGCAGGTGATTTTAATAACCTTCATTCGTTTATAGTCCTGAAAAATCTTTTGAAAATCACAAATTTTCATGAAATATGCTAATTTTTGAAAAATCTTGATTACCAATGGGTTAAGAATCGTTTGTAGATGATTGTAATACTAAACATTTTTTTATTACCATACCTGAATCTTGAAAGATATTATTATAATAAAAATCCTTCACCCGAATGAACTACAAACGACACAGATGATTATAATACCGTTTATTTGTTTGTACTCCTAAAAAATCTTCTGATAATTACTAAAAGATGTAATTTTTCATGAAATATGATAATTTTCGAAAAATCTTGATGCATTCAGCATCGTTTGTAGATGATTGTAATAACACAATTATTCTATCATAAGTCTTAAATTGTGAAGAAGCATTCTCACTTGGACTTAGTTCATTAAACAACTAGACCTGCAATCAATGAAGCCTATTCGACTAGTTTCAACTATGGCTCAATATTTTGTTTTACGTTCAATTACTGTTTGTCGCAATAGTTTCCGGTAAGAAAGTTAACAATTCACCAAAGGGGAAGTACTTAGTTATTAACTGTATATTCGCGCGCCGATGTAGTTAACCTCAGATACCTAGACTCTTTTGATGCAGTCAACATTCGCCTTGAAAGCTTATTATCTCCAATTGGACTCCGTTACAAAGTTATAAGCTATGCGACTGTGACCAATAGTCTTATTATCACATATCTATGTTTGTGAGTGTATAAGTTTTTTGTGTTGTAAAAACGTTTTCCTTTACAAGTTAAGCTAGATAAAATAATAATCATTCCTGTGAAAGAAATTTTTTGTTGAAGGTTGGTCGCCCAAGTACTGTAAATTTAACAACCACAATAAAAGAAGATGTATTATTTAAAGTCCCCAAAAAACACTACAGTGTAATCACCGTAGACGGTTGAGTAGATAATAGGATTAAAGTATAAAGTTGCGGTGTTACTTGTGTAGTGACTTAGAATTAAAATTAAACCTGCATTGTCCAAGACTCATGAATAAAATTTTCTTACAAAAATATACACATTCTTAATTCAAAAATGTTTATGACATTCTATGGTTTGGCTTTCAAATGATTTTAAATTCAGTATTTGAGTTATAAATGGAAACCTGAGAAGTAATTTTTGACCACTAGTTCCGAAGTGGTTCTAACCCAGCACAAACATTTCGCAATATCAATACTGTGTTTGGAGAAGATACTAGGGGAACGTGTTTTGCGTTTTTGGTGCAAAGGCTAAACCCTAGTCAAATATCGGAATAAGCGGTGCGCTAAAGCGAAGCTCACCTATATAAAAGTAATGATAATTGGTAACTGTTTGGTGGTCACTTTATGATAAAATTTACCAAAGCATTTTGAGATCCAGTGTAGCCGTATTATATAATAGCCGATTACCACTTTTTCCCTTATTTGGAAATTTCTTGCAAGAAAATAAAATTGTACTCAGGGAGCGGTACAAAATTTGTTCATAGACTTTGTAGAGTCCAAATCTCATCTCTTTGTAGAGTGAAGTCATACCTTTTCTATAGTACTCAGGGGAGCTCTATAGAAATCTAATAATTCGCCATCGAGGTCGCAATATATATTTCGATTGATTAAATACATTTTTTCTTAAATAAATAATAGAATTTTATAAAATAAATCGGCATTTTCATACTTTAACCCCTAAATTCTTTTGTTGTTTTATTGACAGAGATCAGTAAGCAAGCAGCAAGCAAGTAAAATGCTGGCTTAGTTAAAATAATACTTAAAATTACCATTATAAAGAATAATTTATCTTAAACTTACTCCAAAGCATGGGGCTACGATTGTTAGTGACGTTGTAAATCTTAATATCGTCTTCATTGATCCGCTGTTTTGTAGTTTCCCAACCAGCAGCTATTACTGTATTAACGACAATATCTACAGGTACCAAACTCATGACTATTTCTTGTTTTGCTTTTAAAGTATGCAATATACCAGTTTCTATGCCCAAAATAAGCTAAAAGAAAAGAAATTATATAGCAAGATTTTTATGTATTTATGGCATAATATACTATTTCATATTTCTCTAACTTCGCTCAACTAATCTTCATTCTAAGTACATAAAGAAGGGACCATTGCAAGTGAGCTTTTTTCTTTTCCCTATTTACATAAAATGGACTGTTAATATTGAAATAACTAATTTCATTAGTCGAAAGCTATAAGATCTACTATACCCTTTGTCACATCTTACGTACGTAAAAGATAAAATATTTGCCACTGTTCTTAGCAAGCAAATTTGCAATGGAATTACTAGACAAACCAGATAGTTATCGAAAGTCACCATTACCCGTCTTAATAACTTTTATTAGGTGTATGCGAAATTATGATAAAAAGTTTTGTTTCTTAAATGTTATATTAAATTTAAATACTATAACACTCGTGTTAACAACCATAGCAACTATAAGGAAATCTCTGTGGGAGTCTTATATTCAACAGTTTTTGATAGGTTGATAGTCCGTGTAGTGGCGGGTAAGAATACCCACTACCCCATATCTTCCCGTGAGTGTGGTAAGAGGCGACAGAGAGAAACTGAGGCAGAACATGGGCAGTAGCATCTTTCTCATAACTGCTAATTACAATAAATATAATATAATAAAATATATCTAGAGCCATGCGTTCCTCCAATACCCACTGTACGGTGTTTTTTTTTAATATAGAATTGGGTGACAAACGAGCACACAGTCCACTTGATGGTAAGTGTTTATTGTGACCCATAGACATCTACATCTATCCTCAATAAAGACTCAAGATGCAGATGCGTTGTCACCCTGGGACTAAGATGGAATGCCTCGTTTCCAGTGAGAAGGGTCTCCGGTTCTCTAAACTCACCATACGAAACACAGCAGCGTTAAGCTGCTATTTTACGCTGGTCTTCTGTGAGAGCGTGGTCCTTCCCTGGTCGAGCCGACCCATTCGTGCTACAACCATAATATAGCTGCAGCATGGCTCTACCACGTATAATATAATAAAGCTGTATATAAATGGGTCGTTATAATATATACGTATAAATGATTGATAATAATCCCTGGGAATGAGGTAGTCGCTTCCAAGCCGTTTCTTAAGTAAGTTTTGTGAGTAGGAAGTTTTCTACAACTTGTATTTTAATGCAAAATTTTACTTTAAAAAATTTCCAGCTGGGTTCCTTGCTAGTTCTTTCCAGGATAGAGGCTTAATTATTTTTTTTACTTTTACCAGTGGTATAAGGAAAAAAGTGACTTTCAATGAGAATTACTTGTAATGTACATTGAATAAGAAATTATTCTATTCTAAGACGTAAGGCAATATTTGTGATAATTTTAGTTTTAAATTTTTTTTATTATTTTTAGTACTTACATAAGATTATATCGTATTTCTAACGAGGATATATCGCACCTTTATTCATAAACTGAATTAACTCAAAATTTACGTTTTTCGAGTTTTCAACATAAAACGAATTAACTTCGTCAGGAGAATAGGTCTAGTCCAACAGCCGACTCGATACGCAGAAAATGACGGAGTGAGGTGATCGTCGTTCTCTTTTTGATTAACTCTCGCGAACAAGTCGATACCAGTAAAGTAAGCAAGTTCAGTAATGCGCCGGCGTTGTTCCAGTTAAGACCTTAAAATAATTTGAAGAAAGTGAAATAAACCAGAATAATTCGCTATTTTAGTAATCAGGTAATTATATTATTTGCTTTATTTTATTCAAAAACTGCATCTATTCAGACTCACTTCATTTTATTAGAAAAGTGAATGTAATTTTTATCGGCAACAATATGACTTAATTCAGTTTTGTAAAAATTATATTGTATCAAATACGACATCATTTCGAATTAATGCAGTTTAATATTAAAATGTGGAAACAATACTTGAATAATTAAGTTTTATTTCAGTTTTGTACTATAAATTACCAGAAACGTAGTTATTTTTATATTTATTACTGTTTACTATTAAATTTATTAGATACAACTTTCGTTCTCTTTGTAGTTATTTCACTATTTTACTAAATGACAAATGTAATATTGGCTTCTAAAATTTTGTTTTGGTTATTGAATGTCTTCGAGAGCTCGAAAGATTTTAGGATTAATTGTAGAAAATACCATGCAAGATAGTAAAAATACTATAGCAGATTATAATTTAATAGAGAACTACAACAATAGTAATAAGAATTTCAATCACGAGGTGAGTAATTTTTATTATTACTGTAGATTTTCATAATTCTATTTATTTTTATATTAATTATTTGTTGTTTTTTTTGGTATAACTTTGGGAACCACCAGTTCGATTCCCTGTATGTGTCAAAAAGGCTAACTTGTCAGGAAATTGTTGTAGTTATAATAATATATTCAATAAACCGTATCATTATTTACCATAGTAAATATTATTACAATAGTTAAAATTAGTTTTATTAATTATAGGTACAAAATGAAACTAGTATTTCTGTACAAATGAAGGAGAAGATAAATCTAGAAGGTAAAAATATGATAACGGAATCAGTCGTGGATAGCTTGGATAAAAGAATTGAAGCATCTAATAATAAAAGTCTGGTGCCTTATTATGATAGCGACATTAACTTGTCTGACAATGAAGACAATATTACACGATCCGCTATGATTACGGAGGCAGAAAATAAAAACGAAGACCCTTGTGCCCGTCAATCTTCATCAAGTTCATCATCCTCATCATCTTCTAGTTTATCTAGCTCAACCTCTTCTGACTCATCGTCACCAAGTTCTGAATCCGATAGTTCGCAAACAAAACAACAAACAAACTCTCATTCACTTCCTACCAGACATGTTATTATTGATGAAACAGACGATGATATTATAGAAAACACACCTACAGACCAACTGTCTTATAGAAGAAACGTAAGTGATTACTTTATAAGTAGTTAGGGCCAGCCAGTAGTTAAGTCACTGGAAAAAAACAGTACTTGCTGTTTTTTTATTGCTATTTTTAATTTTAATGTTTATCTTTCAGCAATTTAATAATCATCCGAGGAAGTTACATATGGTCCAAAACTATTATACGTCTCCTATTTATACTGATGAAAGTGACATTGACTTAAGCGATACCGATCCCACATATGTAAATATTGAGCCAAGAAAAAAAAGGAACTATTTCTTTGAAAAATTGAGCTCTTCTTCTACCAGTTCTTCAAATTCAACATCTCCACTAAATAAAGGACACAAACGTACCAAAAATCCTTCTCTGTGGAAACAGAATAAAATTAAACGTATGCGTAATAAGGGAAAAGCATATGTATCGCAGTCAAAAACTCAGAAGCATGTTTCTGCTCGATGTCTCAAAGAACCTTGTACGGATAAATGCAGGCTCAAATGTACTACAAAGATTAATATAGAAGAAAGATACAAACTATTTCAGACTTTTTGGGATTTAGGGGATTTAGTAAAACAAAGAGCGTATATAAATGCGAGTATGGTTGATGTTCAGCCTCGGTACAAATATACGAATGCTGAAAGACCCAGGCACAACAACAAAGCATTTCATTTTAAAATCGACAGTAAAATGATCAGAGTTTGTAAAACTTTTTATAAAGCAACTTTGGATATTTCAGATCGCATGATATTTACGGTACAAAATAAAATTAATGAAAATAATTTTTCATTTAATGATTTGAGAGGAACACATCAACACCATAAGAAAATCGATTTCGAAATACGAGCTGCGATTATGAAGCACATTAATTCTATCCCTAAAGTTGAATCTCATTACTTACGAGCTTCTACAACGAAAGAATTTATAGAAGGTAACAAAACTATTAAAGATTTATACAATGATTTTAAAGTAGACCAAGAAAAACAGAATAAACCAGCAGGTACATATATAACTTACTATAAAATATTTACAAATGAATTTAATCTATCATTTTTTCAACCGAAAAAGGATCAATGCGATCTATGTAATTCTTATTCTAATTATAACGAAAATAAAAAAAAAGATATGGAAGAGAAATACTTAAAACACATAAAAGAGAAGGATTATAGTAGGATCGAGAAGGTTAATGATCGCAAAAAAATAGATAAGAATATGAGAGTAGCGGTGTATGATTTAGAGGCAGTGTTGCAGTGCCCAAAAGGTAACAGTTCCTCCTTTTACTATAAGTCTAAACTTAATTGCTATAACTTAACCCTAACTGAATTAACGTCGAAGGAATCTAAAGTAGCCTACAAAAATATACATTGCTATTTTTGGACCGAGAGTGATGCTAAACGTGGTGCGGTTGAGATCGGATCTTGTGTATGGGCATATCTGAAATCTATAAGCGACGAAGATGGTGATAAAAAAGAAGTTATTTTCTATTCCGACAATTGCTGCGGACAGAATAAAAATAAATATATAACGTCTCTTTATTTATATGCTGTGCAAAAATTAAATTTTAAGAGCATTACGCATAAATTTTTGATCAGGGGCCACACGCAAAATAAGGCAGATAGTGTGCATAGCCTCATCGAGAAAGAAATTAAGAAAAACTTAAAATCGGGCCCAATATATACACCCGACCAGTACATAGCTGTGATAAGGAATGCCAAAAAGTCTCAACCTCCATTAATTGTGCATGAGATGAATTATCAATCGTTTTATGATTTGAAAACGTTACACGAAGAGTGGGGATACAATTATACAATAAATACAGATGGACAGAATGTTAATTGGAATGAAATAAAAGTCTTAAAAATAATTAAAGAAAACCCTACCTTATTTTTCTACAAGACATCATACAAGGATAAAGATTACAAGGAGGTTAATATAAGAAATAAAAGGAAGAAAATGAAACTAACGACAGAAATAACACTTCAAGGTGCCTATTTAAATAAACAAGAAATAAGTGAAAACAAGAAGAAAGATTTAAGGGAGTTGATTTCAAAAGCATTAATCCCTTCTTTTTATGCAGGGTTTTATAATACTATACTTTAAGCATAATATTATTTTTACATTCAGTATTAAATCAGACTTCATTATTTTTGATTTTTTAGTGTATTATGAAAACCAAAGCAATTAATGTTTAATTATGAATATTATTTTTTAATTTGTAAAGATTTGCAAAAATTTTAGTTTTGTTTTGTTTTTAATAATATGAATATCTCTGAAGTTTAATTTGAAGTTTTTACTTAATAATTGTATTATCAATAATACTTTTAAATAGGTATACACATAAGTATTTAAGTAGGTACCTACACCGAAGTATTAGGACTTTTTACTAAGACATCGTTAAGTAATGTAACTAAAATAATGTCATCTTTTTAAATAATTAAAACGTGTAAATATAAAAATATTTCTTTATTCTATTAAAAATAATACCTACATGTGAAATTTATAATATGAATTAAAATTAAGAAAGTAAAAATTAGAAATATTTCGTCGACAATTCATGCCTATAATATCTCAATACTGCAAATAATCTAAATATTTCACATACTAACAAGATACTTTTAATATTAAACTGCAATATTTTCAGTTACTCCGTTTGCATCGAAATTATTCGATTACATATTTTATTAAAAAGTGAAATAAGTAGGAACTTTTTTTTAAATACAACTATACAGGGTATTCTTCATCAGAATATAATAATTTTCCACCTCATTCTAATACTTTGGTCATTAAGCTACACATATCTAATTTTGTAACTGACCAAAGCCATCTATTATTTTTTTTATAATTTTTTGAAGTCATCGATCTCAACATGTCAAACTTTAAATGCGATTTCCCACAAAACTGAAATTTTGTGTTAGTGCAGTTTATGAATAAAGGTGCGATATTATAGAATTATTCTCTCGACGAATGACTATTCTATATGTTAGATAGGGTGCCGACTTGATGAAACGTACAGGTTGGATTTAGGTGATCAATGTTCAACAATGAACTTTTGATGGGTAATAAAGGAAATAATGATGATATGTTTTAATAAGAATAATGTATTAAACTCTCAAACTTCAGTGCAAAAACAAGCGAGTTGGTCTGCGTGTGCGCCAGCGAGTTAACTCGCTTAGAAACTATAAACTCAGTCTACAGCTTTCTATTACATAAAATTAATAATAATAAAAAGTATAAACTTACTCCACTTGCTCCGTATGCATTATTTGGATCAATCCAGCCAATCATTGGTTCGTGATACGAAGAAATAACTGCAAATAAGATATTTGTTAATCATAAGATAAATGTTGTCATATTATCAATCTATGCACACATGCACGCTTAAAGTTGTAAGTTTTATACAGTTATTCGTATATATTACCCAAAGCCATGTAAAGTAAGCTCTATAAAGATTGCTGTGAAAAGTCAGCAGAAACATAAAAATTGTATCCAGGAATTTGTAGCTAATTTGTTGCTAATTAGTTACCACAGTCGCGATTTTGTTACTCCAACCGGTTTTGAGTAAATTAAATTACTGCTATCTTTACATTAAGATAGCAGTAAAAACTTTCAATCAACCCCGCCGTAGCGGATAAAACGGCATAATTTGTTGCTAATTAGTTGCTGACATATAATGCAAAACAATATAAAAAAAATTAAAATTAAAAAAAAATTAAAAATTAAAAAAGAACATCAAAAATTAATAAAAATCAATTTATGTTTTGATATTGATTTTGAAGTTCTAAATTAATGAAAATTTTGCTGCTAATTAATAAATAGATCAATAACTGCCAGACAGCCTACAACATCATAAAATCGGTCGAAAAGCTGTATCAAGTAATAAGTTGCAAATAAATGTGTACATGCTACCTACACGGGAGATTCAAAAACAGAACATATTGTTGCTGTTTAGTTGTGAAAGCATAAAGAGCCAGCAACAAAATAAAATAGATCGATAAGCTGCACCAACTAATAAGTTAATAATTATATGTGTACAAGCTATATCATGAAAATTTTAGGAAAAAAATATAGCAGATATTTTGTTGCTGGTCAGTTATGGAGGCAGCAACTCTTATAGAGCCAGCAACAAAATAAAATGGATCAGTAAGCTGCACTAAGTAGTTAGTTACTGATTGTTTGTGTAAATGCTATATTTTTATGAAAATTTTAGAAAAAAAAGGTAGCAGATATTTTGTAGCTGATATTTTGTTGCTGGTCAGTAACGGAAGCTGGAACTCATAAAGAGCCAGCAACAAAATAAAATTGATCGACAAGTTGCATTATGTTATTAGTTAGAAATTATTTGTGTACATGCTATATTTTAATGAAAATTTTAGGAAAAAAGTTAGCAGATATTTTGTTGCTGGTTAGTTACGGAAGCAGCAACTCGTATAGAGCCAGCAACAAAATAAAATAGATCGATAAGCTGCACTAAGTAATTAGTGATTAATTGTTTGTGTACATGCTATATTTCTATGAAAATTTTAGAAAAAAAAGGTAGCAGATATTTTGTTGCTGGTCAATTACGGAAGCAGGAACTCATAAAGAACCAACAACAAAATAAAATAGACAGACAAGTTGCATTACGTTATTAGTTAGAAATTATTTGTGAACATGCTATATTTTAATGAAAATTTTAGGAGAAAAGGTAGCAGATATTTTGTTGCTGGTCAGTTATGGAAGCAGCAACTCGTATAGAGCTAGCAACAAAATAAAATTGATCGACGATCGTTAATAATTATTTGTGTACAAGCTATATTTACATGAAAATTATAGGATTATTAGTAGATATTTTGTTGCTGGTCAGTAACGGAAGCAGCAACTCATAAAGAAGTTAAAGTTTCCAAAACTTGAGATTCTTTTTAATTGAACTTTAATAATTACATTTACCTTTTTTTTCTTATAGCATTCATTGCAATATATTGTCATTGCAGCATATAAATTATCAGGCGCAAATAAGATATATAAAAAAGGATTTGAGGAGTCGTAATAAAGTTCCCTTGAGTTTAGATGAAATGATTATATGATCACCTATATTATAGAAAATGTTGTCGTGTTTTGAAGCCAATATATCCTAACGCTATAAGGCATTCGCGCTTTTACACGAAAGTAATTGAAAATATAAAGTGGTTTACAAATTTTATAAATAAAATTGCATATTATTATATACCACTCAAAGCCACTTAAAAATAGTATAAAATAATTTTAAGCCTTTATAATTAAATAATAATATAGCAATAAAATATTTTCTAAATTTTCCTAAAATTCCATGTAAATATAAAATGAAAACAAATAATTATTAACTTATTACTTGTTACAGCTTATCGATCGACTTTATTTTGTTGCTAGCTCTTTGTGACTTGCGGCTTCCATTGCTGACCAGCAACAAAATATCTGCTAACTTTTTTCCTATAATTTTCTAGTAAATATGGCATGTACACAAATAATTATTAAATTAGTATTTGTTGCAGTTTATCAATCGATTTTATTTTGTTGCTGGCTCTATACGAGTTGCTGCTTCCGTAACTGACCAGCAACAAAATATCTGCTAACTTTTTTCCTAAATTTGCATTAAAATATAGCATGTAAACAAATAATTTCTAACTAATAACGTAATGCAACGTCGATCTATTTTATTTTGTTGCTGGCTCTTTATGAGTTCCTGGTTCCGTTACTGACCAGCAACAAAATATCTGCTATATTTTTTTCCTTAAAATTTTCATGATATAGCTGGTACATAAATAATTATTAACTTATTACTTGGTGCAGCTTGTCGATCTATTTTATTTTGTTGCTGGCTCTTTATGCTTTCATAACTGAATAGCAACAATATATCTGTTGTTCTGTTTTTGAATCTCCCGTATAGGCAGCATGCACACATTTATTTGTAACTTATTACTTGATACAGCTTTTCGACCGATTTTATGATGTTGTAGGCTGTCTTGGAGTTATTTATCTATTTATTAATTAGCAGCAAATTTTCATTAATTTGGAACTTCAGAATCAGTATCAAAACATAAATTGATTTTTATTAATTTTTGATGTTTTTTGTTAACTTTTAATTTTATTTCTTTTAATTTTTTCTATATTGTTTTGCATTATATGTCAGCAACTAATTAGCAACAAATTATCCCGTTTTATCCGCTACGGCGGGGATGATTAAAACTTTTTACTGCTATCTTAATGTAAAGATAGTAGTAATTCAATTTACTCAAAATCGGTTGGAGTAACAAAATCGCGACCATGGTAACTAATTAGCAACAAATTAGCTATAGATTCCTGGATACAATTTTTATGTTTCTGCTAACTTTTCACTGCTATCTTTATAGAGCTTGTAAAGTATCGATTCATAGTTTTATATCTTGTATGCTTTTTTAAAACAACAGTAGTCCATTAGTAATAAAGATAATGTTGTAAATTTTCTTTCATTATGAACTTTAATATATATAATATAATGTAAATTATGATTACCTATTGCTGGCCTCACAATGCATATAGGTAAATTACGAGCCTCGGTGCGAACAATTTCCTCACCTAATGCTTTGGAGAATGAGTAGGTATTAGGCCAGTCATCCATTAGCCTGAAAATTCAATGTTTGAATTCAAGTTTCACCATTTGCGAAAAAGACACAATAGTTAAACAATTGAAATGTTCATACATATACTATTATTCACAGGACAGTGTAATGGTTAATCGTATACGAAGCAGTCAGTCTCAGGAAAAATGTAACTATTAATTTTTAAAAAAACCCATAGGTGTCAGATTCGAAGCGTACGTACAGCAATGGACGTATAGTGGCGATGTAAGTATAACAACTACCACATATCACCCCGTGGCTGTGGCACCAAGAGGCGACAGAACTACACAAATGAGAAGATGGGCAGCGTCTTCCTAATAACGACTAAAATAAAAAATCTGCGGTTACCACCCGCTTGCAAAGCATTGTAACTTTTTTTTATACAATATGGGTGACAATCGAGCACAGAGTCCACCTGATGGTAAGTGGTTGCTGTAGCCCATAGACATGTACATCTTTCTTCGTTTACGAATTAAAATGCAGAGGCGTTGTATGTCGTGAGGACTAAGATAGAATGCCTCCTTTCCAGTAAATAGGGTCTCCGGTTCTCTCCACTCATCATACGAAACACAGCAGCGTTAAGCTGCTATATTACGCTGGTATTCTATGAGAGCGTGGTTCTTCCCCGGTCGAGCCGACCCATTCGTGCTGCAACTATACTACTAATATAGCTGCAGCATGGCTCTACCACGATTGCCTCATAGAGGGGATATAACCATGGCAAATGCAGGGGGCATTTGCCATAGTGCTTACGAGGCAATCTATGGGGAAGGCCTATGTTCAGCAGTGGATTTTAAAATGTTGTAACGGTACTATTAGAATACCAGCGTAAAATAGCAGCTTAACGCTGCTGTCTCACTGGAGTCACTGGAAAAGAGGCATTCCAGTCCATTAGGGGTGACAAAGCATCTACATTTTTATTCTTTATTGAGGATAGATGTAGATGTCTATGGGTCCCAGCGGCCAATTACTATCAGATGGACTGTGTGCTCGTTTGTTACCCTATCCTATATAAAAATTGACTATGCATGCTGATGACAAAATGTGATGATATAGTCATCATTTTCATCATTACAGCCCTTCACAAGTCCACTGCTGAACATAGGCCTCCCCCAAAGAATGCCACAAAGCACGGTCCTGAGCCACCTGCATCCATCGACTTCCTGCATATCTTACCAGGTCGTCACTCCATCTAGTGGGAGGACGCCCTACACTTCGCCTGCCGGTACGAGGCTGCCACTCGAGAACCTTTCTTCCCCATCGGTTGTCGGTTCTTCGAGCTATATGGCCGGCCCATTGCCACTTCAGCTTACTAATCCGTTGGGCTATGTCGGTCACTCTAGTTCTACTGCGGATATCCTCATTTCTGAGTTTATCACGCAGAGAAACTTCGAGCATAGCCCTCTCCATAGCTCGCTGAGCGACCTTGAGCTTCCTCATCCGGCCAGCAGTGAAGGACCACGTCTCAGATGATATAGTACAGAGAGCATTTTTAAATGTGCAGCACAGTTGTGTTGCTGGTTTACCCATAATGATACTATCATTAACAAGACGATGCATTTTGATTTATAATGTACTAGCGACCTGCCCAGGGCCTGAATAGGGTCTATTAATGTGTCATTCTTTAGACTTAAGATAATTAAAACCATTTATTTTATGAGTTATTCGTTATTTTTAAAAATCAACTTTTTCAGAAAAAATGTCGCCTAAATCTCTCCTGGCATTACACTCTATCTGTTCATAAATTTTCTTCACAATCGGTTCTGTCATTCCGAAGATTAGACACAAACAATTTAGAAATGGTTATTTATCTTTGATATCATGATTTTATGAAAATAACCCCCTGAGCTTAATAGAAGCCAGTTATTTTAATATTACAGACAGACACTTTAATTTTATTGCATGGCTTAAGCGGAAGCGCAAGGTATGTTCTACTATTCGCCTAAAAATTAAGATTCCAACGTTTTATCGAATAAAATCGTATCTAGCAATCATATATGTATAATATGTAGTATATATTAATTATGATATGTATAATGATTATTAATATGATGACATAATATAAAAAGCACATTGTTAGAAAGATAAATGATTGTTGAACTTAATAATATTTTTTTTAATTCGATTAATTGCAATTTTTAAATAAAAAGGGGTTTTAGTGGCTTATAGTGTGGATTTATCATGTCCCCAAGGCTTGTAAACACGATAACTTTTGAAAATATCAATTTTTTACCACAATCTATTTTTTAATCTCTTCATCTATCATGTGGGAAGCCACTGAATGTAAATGGCAGTGTAATTTTGTTTTGTTTAGCTATAATTAATTTTTTTCGGCTCCAAAATGGCGATTTTTTCGATGATTTGGTAGCCTAGTATGAAATTATTTCTGTAAATAGGGAGCTACATCCACAGAGTAGTTTACTCACTCACTCAGTTCAGCGTTAGTCGTCGTCGTGAGTGGACATTGTTTCGGTTTTTTACAGCGGCTCAAGAAGATCGCTGTACAAATACACAATATTCGAATAACCAAATTTCTTAAATACTTGATTATAATAATAATAAGAGATTTTTTATAACAATATTTTAAAAGCACAGAATAAATAATAATAGTACGTACTAAAAGTAAGAAGTATAATTTTTTTTTGTCACGGGTGACATTTTCATGGTTTTCGAGGGTGTTGAAACCGATAGGGTTGTCGAAATCTAAATCCAAGATGGCAGCCGCAATAGGTATCAATTTTTTCATCATGGGTGTCATTTTCATGGTTTTCGAGGGTGCTGAAGCTGATAGTGCTGTCGAAATGTAAATCCAAGGTGGCGGCTGCAATAGGTTAAATTGTTTCATCATGGGTGTCATTTTCATGGTTTTCGAGAGAGTTGAAGCCGATAGGGTTGTCGAAATATAAATCTAAGATGGCGGCTGCAATAGATATCAATTTTTTCATCATAGGTGTCATATTCATAGGTTTCGAGGGTGTTGAAGCCGATAGTGCTGTCGAAATGTGATTCCAAGATGGCGGCTGAAGTAGGTACCAATTTTTTCATCATGGGTGTCATTCTCATGGTTTTTGAGGGTGTTAAAGCCGATAGTGCTGTCAAAATGTAAATCCAAGATGGCGGCTGCAATAAATATCAATTTTTTTCATCATGGGTGTCATTTTCATGGTTTTCGAGGGTGCTGAAGCCGATAGTGCTGTCGAAATGTAAATCCAAGGTGACGGCTGCAATAGGTTAAATTTTTTCATCATGGGTGTCATTTTCATGGTTTTCGAGGGTGTTGAAGCCGATAGTGCTGTCGAAATGTAAATCTGAATTAGGTACCAATTTTATTTTTTTATTTATTTACACACACATACAACATACACAATCATTACAGGGTGAGTACCCTAATTCGACAGTGTAGCCAACTATACAGTATGATATGCCATTTTACTGAGCTCACTCGGCGAACATGAAAATAAATCAGTTCGCTCCGACATGGTGTTGAACACACGCAGCGCGCGCGTGAACGGTGCTTGCTGCATCAGTGCAGTGCGCACGTGCGGCACTGCCAGTAACGACGGCCGCTGCCGACGCCCCGCGCTTCCGTCAGGCGCATTCAGTCGCACCATCTCTAACACTGTCGGGCTGTGTATCCTGCCCCTGATCACCTTCAACACGTACACAGCGAGAGTGACTTCTCTTCTGACTTCGAGCTTGTAGTACCCTACCATACCGAGTAAAAATAGAGTTGGATACAACAAGGGATATCCCGGGTACACTCCGAATTGCTTTAAGTATAAGAATCTAATAAATTTATTTTGGATCCGCTCTAACATATATTTGTATTTGGCTTCATGAGGAGCCCAAATGACAGCGTTACACTCTAAGTGGCTCCTTACGAGTGCATCATATAGCGCTGTCAGAGCCCCGACATTAGTGAAATTATTTACAAGGCGCATTATCAATCCGAGATTACGGTATGCCTTTATACAAACATTACTTACATGTAATCTAAAGTTCAATTCTGCAGTGAAATGTACACCTAGATCTCTAACCTCCGTTACTACATTGGGCAAATCATTTATCATTAAAATTAACAGCAAAGGTCCTAGATTGCTGCCTTGATTAACACCAGATCTAGTAGGGTAGGGTCGAGAAAAGTGCCCATTGCAATCAACAAACTGATGCAGGTCTCGCAGGTAACTGGTGAAAAATGATAGCGTGGGAGGTGTGCAGCCCACACAAGCCAACTTACAATGTAGAACATCATTGTCGACCGTATCGAAAGCCTCTCTAAAGTCGAAGTAGGCTACGACTACTTGCAGGCCAGCATCAACTGCGGGTACTAGATGCGTCATCAGCTCCAGTTAGTTCCCAGTTGTCCCCCGCCCAGGGCGGAAGCCGCGCTGCGCGTTGTACAACTGTGCACTAATCTGTGGGTACAGGCAGTTGTAAATGGCCGTCTCGAACACTTTCGCTGGAGTGCTTAAGACTGCCACGGGTCTGAAGTCACTTGGCGTCGATCCCTCACTACCTTTCGGTACAGGCACAACTCTAGTGAGTTTCCATTGATCAGGAAACGTAGCGCTTTCATCTCATTTCATTTTCATCATGGGTGTCATTTTCATGGTTTTCGAGAATGTTGAAGCCGATAGTGCTGTCTAAATGTAAATCCAAGATGGCGGCTGCAATAGATATCAATTTTTTCATCTTGGGTGTCATTTTCATGGTTTTCAAAGGTGTTGAAGCCCATAGTGCTGTCGAAATTTAAATTCAAGATGGCGGTTGCAATAGATATCAATTTTTTTCATCATGGGTGTCATTCTCATGGTTTTCTCGGATGTTGAAGCCGATAGTGCTGTCAAAATATAAAACCAAGGTGGCGGCTGCAATGCGTATCAATTTTTTCATCATGGGTGTCATTTTCATGGGTTTCGAAGGTGTTGAAGCTGATAGTGCTGTCGAAATGTAAATCCAAGATGGCGGCTGAAGTGTGTACCAATTTTTTCATCATGGGTCTCACTTTCATGGTTTTCGAGGGTGCTGAAGCCGATAGTGCTGTAGAAATGTAAATCCAAGGTGGTGAATGCAATAGGTATAATTTTTTTAATCTTGGGTGTCATTTTTATGGTTTTCTAGGGTGCTGAAACCGATAGTGCTGTCGAAAAGTAAATTCAAGGTGGCGGCTGCAATAGGTATTAATTTTTTCATCATGGGTGTCATTTTAATGGTTTTCGAGGGTGTTGAAGTCGATAGTGCTGTCGAAATGTAAATTCAGGATGGCGGCTGAATTAGGTACCAATTTTTTTATCATGGGTGTCATTTTCATAGTTTTCGAGGGTGTTGAAGCTGATAGTGCTGTTGAAATGTAAATCCAAGATGGTGGCTGCAATAGATATCAATTGTTTCATCTTTGGTGTCATTTTCAAAGTTTTCGAGGGTGTTGAAGCCGATAGTGTTGTCGAAATGTAAATCCAAGATAGCGGCTGCAATAGGTATCAATTTTATCATCATGGGTGTCATTTTCATGGTTTTTCAGAGAGTTGAAGCCGATAGTGCTGTCGAAATGTAAATCCAAGATGGCGGCTGAAGTAGGTACCAATTTTTTTATCATGGGTGTCATTTTCATGGTTTTCGAGGGTGTTGAAGCCGATAGTGCTGTCGAAATGTATTTAAACTACTTTATAAAAATTCCCTATAATCATTTTATACGTAATTTTTTTAATGCATTTAAGGCATGCCCAATTGAATTTACCAATTTTTATTTACATGTATAGATAACAGATGTAGGTCTATCAGCTATAGTATCCTACCATCAGGTGGACTACGTACTCGTTCATCACCGTTACTTCTATAAAAATAATTGTGTGTTTATTAATTATTTTTTAATTAAATGCAATCAAAGTTCATTGCTAAACTTATGCCTCCCGCTCAGTAGCCAGGTTGGCAACAATAGTCTCTTAACATTTGTAACTAATAATAATAATAATATCATCCAGACCGATTACGGTCACGGCGGCCGGTCTCAACGGAGACTAGACATCTGCGTGGATTAAGTGCCCAAGTGTATGCGCAATCACAATTGCACTCTCTATTCCTTCACTCTCGTAGCCCGGTGGGACTATTATCTAGTTTGCCTTCTTCAGTTTCCCTTTGTAGCCTATTACGGATATAAGGTAGTGGATTCTTTTACGCTGCCATTACACGGCTTATACAACAAGAGTTTGTAAAGAAAAATTATTATTTAATTGACAATTTACTTACTGTTTGACAATGGAATTTAGCTTCTTTTCATCCATGTTTTCAGCCAGTTCTATCAAAGCATTAGGCGGCATCGGACTTTCATAAAATTGCTCCTTCACCGCTGAATCAACGCGACTTTTAGTGGCATGGGAATAAGCAGTTGATACATGAACTATGGACCTGTTATAAAAATGAGTTATATAGGTACATATTAAATAAACAATTATGTTATATTGAGAAGAATACGACGCATTGAATAAAACTTATTTTAAGGTTTTCAACCACTGACCTCTATGTATATATAGGCCTTTCAAGAATTTTTTAGTACCCATGTGATCGATACGATATCACAGTAAAATAAGTTTTGGCTGGTAACTAAATGCCAAAGAAATCTTCATTGTAAACGTTTTTATTTTAATATGCGCATTGCATAATGAAGCTTCGAGATCCCAGCGCAATACTATTGCACAATACTTCTTACCAATCTGTTATCTTCCTAGAAGTGGGCAGGCCACACCCTCCTACCTATTTCTACCACCTAGCAGCAGTGCCTGCACAGCGGTCTGAATGGTATAGGAAGAGTAAAAAATGCCACACAAACTTGAATAAACGATATCTCTATATATTGTATATTAAAGGCTCCGAATTCCAGTTTAGTCCTTAGATGTGCCAACGCATTTAGGTAGGTTAGACAGGCTGTAGTAGCCAGTTACCAACAGGTGGACTGTGAGTTTGTTCGTTACTTTAATACTCTCGAAAGGAAACACTTTTAAAAGTCCGGCATCTCACCTTTAATTTCCCTGGTAGTGCAGTTGTTCATAGGCTTACTTATTACTTACCATAAAGTGAGCCGTCCAAAGGACCCCTTAATAAGATTTGGGTCAGTTTTTAGCCATATTTTTTTAATTTTATTATTTAAAAAATACCTTTATTTAAATCTATTAATATATTATACAATATTAAAAAACTATACTAAAAATAATGCCAAAACTAATAATTTATTATCATACAATCCTGCTCGCCGTGGTATCGTGCCAAGAACGCTGTCCTCGCTGAATGGTTATACTTAGGCTTTGAGCGAGTAAAGAACCAGCCCTCTTATCACCAGAAGCAACGACCAGTCGCGGGTAGAGTTTCTTTAGGAACTTCACTACACGTGGGTACACGGACCGATAGTCTCTACAGCAAATGGCACAAATATGTACTCATCTCTCAGAGACTCATTACTCTGTTCAGCTGGCTCTGATGCCGCCCCGGCAACTAAACGAGTTACCTCTGATGCCGGGTTTCCACGCTTGCCAAGTCTCGGCAAGCGTCCACAAGCACAAGTGTGTAAAGAGGGCGTTTGGCTTGGCTTGCGTGAGCTTGTGGACGCTTGTCGAACTTGTCCGAACCAGTGTCAGTTTTTGTACACAGATCAAAGGGCGCTTGCGGCAAGCTCTTGCAACGCATTCACACGTTCGTGCGCGTTTAGTAACCATTGTGATTTCGCGACGAGCGCATGTTTAGTTCTTTGTTCTAGAAAGTTGCAAATGCTTGGAGTCGTCTTGCCGAGTTAACGGGAAAGCCAGTAAAAGAATTAAAAGCCAAAAAATTCCTTGTTTTTGTATTTTAAATAAAAGTATGTTAAACCAAACGCAATAGCCGACACAAGTTCGGTGTCCGCCATGCTTGGATATACATAGCACACTGACGCATTGACAAGTGTGTAAACAACTTCCAAACGCCAAACGAGACTTGTGGACGCTTGGGGCTTGAAGACGTTTGCCGAGGCTTGGCAAGCGTGGAAACGCACCATGAGATGAGATAGCATGCCACACTAGAGCTTTACCTCTCTCCCAAGGGACCAATGTCATATAATCTTTATTATTTCAAAATTATATTTTTTTATTGTATCCTAATTGTATATATTTATTTACATAATATTATTTTCAGCAATCAAAAATAATTTGGTTTAGTGAGATATATTTAAAAAGTATTATATTTTTAAAACTATACTTTCAAATATTGTAGTTAATTTTTAATTTTAATACAAATGAATTGGAACACTTACCGCAAATGTTTACAAGCTCTGGCTAAATGCAATATTTCCCTGGTTCCACGCACATTGGTCAGGGTAGCTTTTTTAATTGTTTCGTCAAAGTTGACCGTTGCGGCAACGTGGAAGATAATATTTACCTTGAATTTACAATTAAATTATAAGATAAGTATAAAAATTAAACACGAAATGATTAACATCCTGATCCACTGCTGCCTTAAGTCTAATAAGCCTCTCTCATCGTAGGAAGCCTTTACAGTAGACGGACTGGCTATCGTAGAAAGAGACGCTTTGTACCTCCGACGCTGATTTTTTCTATCACAACTCTAGGGATTTTTTATCTCATATAAGTGAGAAGTAAGGAGAATTGTACTTATATAATGCTTTTTCGTTGAAGATTATATATACCTTTAGATCTTCAGTCTATCTATTAAAAATTCTCTTAGTATTTTTGTCCAGCTTGTTTCATTTTTCATCATTACAGCCCTTCACAAGTCCACTGCTGAACATAGGCCTCCCCCAAAGAATGCCACAAAACACGGTCCTGAGCCACCTGCATCCATCGACTTCCTGCATGTCTTACCAGGTCGTCACTCCATCTCGTGGGGGGACGCCCTACACTTCGCCTGCCGGTACGAGGCTGCCACTCGAGAACCTTTCTTCCCCATCGGTTGTCGGTTCTTCGAGCTATATGGCCGGCCCACTGCCACTTCAGCTTACTAATCCGTTGGGCTATGTCGGTCACTCTGGTTCTACTGCGGATATCCTCATTCCTAAGTTTATCACGCAGAGAAACTCCGAGCATAGCCCTCTCCATAGCTCGCTGAGCGACCTTGAGCTTCCTCATACGGCCAGCAGTGAAGGACCACGTCTCAGTTCCGTAAGTCATCACTGGCAACACGCACTGGTTGTACAATTTCGTTTTAAGGTTTTGAGGTATGTCTGACGAGAAGATGTGTCGTAGCTTCCCGAACGCTGCCCAGCCGAGTTGAATCCGTCGATTGACCTCTCGGTCGAAGTTGGACTTACCCAGTCGGACTATTTGTCCCAGGTAAACATACTCGTCAACAACTTCGAGCTTAGTGTTCCCAACAACTACCGGCATAGGTGTGACATGGACATTAAACATGATCTTAGTTTTGTCCATGTTCATCTTAAGACCTATCCGTTGGGAAACACTATTGAGGTCATTGAGCATAGTGCTTAGGTCCTCCAGCGATTCTGCCATAAGGACTATATCGTCGGCAAATCGAAGGTGAGTGATGTACTCGCCATTGATGTTGATACCGTATCCTTTCCAGTCCAGAAGCTTGAAAACGTCTTCCAATGCAGCGGTGAAGAGTTTCGGGGATATGACGTCACCCTGTCTTACACCTCTCTGCAATTGGATAGGTTTCGTACTCTGGTTCTGTACTCGGATAGCCATCGTAGCCCTACTGTACAAGCACTTCAACACTTCGATATACCGACAGTCAACTTGGCACCGCTGAAGGGACTGCAGCACCGCCCAAATTTCGACGGAATCAAAGGCTTTCTCATAGTCCACATACGCCAGACATAGTGGCAAATTGTACTCTTCGGACTTCTGTACAACTTGCCGAAGGGTATGTATGTGGTCTATGGTGCTAAAGCCCTTTCGGAAACCGGCTTGTTCGGGAGGCTGGAAGTCGTCAAGTCTGCGCGCGAGACGATTCGTAATGACTCTCGAAAACAGCACGTAGACGCGGCTCAGAAGGGAAATCGGTCTGTAGTTCTTCAAGAGAGCGTTGTCACCTTTCTTGAAGAACAAGACCACCGCACTTCTGCTCCACGCCTCCGGTGTAATGCCACCATGGAGGACGGAATTAAAGAGCTTCTGAAGGACTTCAAGTACCGGTCTTCCACCCGCTTTCAGAAGCTCCGCTGTAATTCCATCCTCGCCTGGGACCTTACCGTTTTTAAGGTGCTGGAGAGCCATCCTAATCTCGCTCAGACTGACATCCGGGATATCTTCGGAATAGTGTCGGATGAGACTCGCTCTTGGATCGTTACTCACACTTGCGTGTGGCTCCAACGATGATGTGTACAGCTGCCCATAGAACCTCTCAATCTCACTCAAAATCTCAGGTGTCCCGGAAACGATGCTGCCACACTCTGTCTTCAGCTTTGACAGTTGGCTCTTTCTGGCAGACAGATCTCTGGCAAAGACTTTGGAGCCTTGGTTCCGCTCGATCGCTTCTTCAATACGAGCTGTATTGAAGTTGCGTAAGTCCCGCCGCGTGCATTTGGAGATCTGTCTGTTCAGATGCCTGTATGCTGTCAAGTCTGTTGAAGAATGTAGCTTCATCTCCCGTCTAACAGCCATGAGATTAAGAGTGTGATCGGAGAGTTTTTGTGTTCTTCTGCGGCGGGTTTTGCAGAACTTAGCTCCAACCGCATGGACAGTTTCCACGAGCTTGTCATTCATATCGTCCACTTCATTGCAGTCTTCCAGGCACTGAAAACGGTTTTGTAACTCGAGCTGAAAGGTTTCGGGACTTTGGAACAGAGCACGAGGGGGACGGAGCGTTGACTTCATTAGACGAGACCTCTCCAACTTAACGTTTAGGTTCAGTGTGCCTCTAACCATTCGGTGATCGCTACCAGTTTTCACCCTCGCGATCACGGAGACATCACTGAACAGTTGTCGTCTGGTCGTCATAATGAAGTCAATCTCATTTTTTGTGGAACCGTCGGGGCTCGACCAGGTCCACTTCCTGTGGGGCCGCTTCTGGAAGAAAGAGTTCATCATAAAGAGTCCCTCTTTCTCCATGAAGTCGGCCAGCTGCTGGCCCCTTGGGTTCCGTTGCCCTATTCCAAATTTCCCTACTTTCAGCTCACCGTTCTCTCTTGTGCCTAGTTTTGCATTGAAGTCTCCCATTAACACCGTATATTGGGTTTTGGAGGAATGCATGGCTCTAGAGATATCCTCATACATTTCCTCCACCTCCTCATCGGGGTGTGCCGAGGTTGGTGCGTAAACCTGTATGACCTTCAGCGAATACCGTTTGGTGATTCTGAGTATAATGTACGCAACCCTCGTCGACACACTCCCGATTTTTACAACGTTGTTAACGAGAGACTTGTGGACGATAAATCCGACACCTCCTTGGGACAGATGGTCGCCCTCCCGGTGATAGAGCAAGTTGCCGGATTCGAGGATTACCGTGTCCTCCCCCTCTCTTCGGACTTCGGATAATCCTATAATATGCCAGCGCAACTTGTCTATCTCTTCTTCCAGCTCCACGATCTTCTCGTCAGTCCTCAGGGTGCGTGCGTTGTACGTTGCCAGGTCGAGTCATCTAAGGTGGCAACCGAACCTCCACCGGAGATTCTTAGCACCCCCTGCCCCGCCGTTACCATGGTCGCCACCGTAGCCAGGAATAGCGGGGCCGCCGGGGACTGGGGGCCGTTTTTTTGTTGCTCTCATCATTGGGGGGTATTTGCCATAGTTGCCACGCTTGGCGAGCGGGTTGGCAACCGCAGTTTTTTTATTGTAATTTGGCTATTATCAGGAAGATGCTGCTGCCCATCTCCTGGCTGTTTCCCTTTGTCGCCTTTTACGACACCCACGGGAGGATATGGGGTAGTGGATATTCTTGACCGCCACTACACGGCAGCTTGTTTCACACAACAAGATTTAAACCGAGATTTACAGAAGCCATAAACGTACCAAGTACTAACAGAGAGGCGACAAGAATGCAATGATGCAGACAAACATATATCGGTATACTCTACGGCCCGGGTGGGAGCTATTCTAATATTTGAAAGTTCTAATTGAATAAGCCGAGAATTTTAGGCAACGTACTTTTGAACTTTTTTGAGCCTCTGGAGATATACTTAAATGTATTTATTGGGCAAAAATAAAATCATGGCAAGGAGGATATCATGGTCAACCATGTTGAACGCATTTGTTAAATCAATCAATACAAGTACTGTCCCCTTTCTATTCTCCATGCCCTCCCGAATGTCCTCTGTGACTTTGAGAAGTGCAGTGGTCGTGCAAGTTATAAGCAACTAAAGGCAGACAATTGTTGGTGAACTATAGATTCAAGAAGTTTTGATAGAAAGGGTAAGATAGAAATAGGGCTATAGTTGTTAAGTTGAGTTGGGTTTGCAATTTTGGGAAGAGGGATAATATAAGATTTACGCCAAAAAGTAGGAAAGACCCCAGACAACAGAGAAAATTGATTATGTGAGTTATGACTGAGAGAAACTTTTCGACAACAAAAGAGATCATAAGGCGACTCACATAATCACAGCCCACTGCTTTGGATTTGATAGATACAAAAGTTTTACGAACTTCGTCGACAGAGACAAACGAGAATGAAAATGGTTCATGTTGCTAGTGTTCCACAAGGCTGCGTGCTATATCACCTACGCTGTGTCTTCGGTATAACAATTATATGTTGCAGTTCCTAGTTGTAATACTGGTGATGCTTTTTACTCCCGCCGTGATAATATTTCTCGGGAATACGTCAGAGAATATCGTTACAAACTTGTGTCTAAAGTTTAGCCTTTAATAAGCAAAATTTCAGGTTGGGGACGACTCTAGTCCAGTTAGTCCAGTTTAAACTTCAGAGTAGGAAACCCACTGTCGTATTTTCTCAATTGCAGGGCACTCCCCATGTTACCTCAGCCAGCATCGGAATCCTCGGCATCGGCATATCGAATGAGGTACAGTTCCGCTGTCACTTGGAAATGAAGGCTAAATTGGCCTCTAAGAAGCTTGGCGTACTCAGCAGAGCGGGACAGTATTTCATGCCGGCACACCACTTGCAACTTTAAGAGGCGTCGTCCTCACATGAAGTACTGTTATCATCTCAGGACCGGGGCACCCCAGTGCCAGTTCCGTCCACTTGATCGCATCTAGCTAAAAGTGGTTCGAATCGTCGACAACCGAGTTCTTTCTAATCGGCTCTATTCACTGGTTCTGCAAAGAGATGTTGCATCTCATTGCAGTTTCTATCGCATTTTCCACGGGTAGTACTTAGACAAATCGGAACAAAACACACGGTACCATCCATACCATCTAGATGTTTAGCGGTCCACTATGACTGTCCGATCTACTAGGAGTTTTCTTCCTCGCAAGACTTCTTTGTGGAATCATCTGCCACCAGCGATTTTTCCGCTTCGATAAACTTAGTGACTTTCAAGAAACGAGCTTACTCATTTTAAAGGGCCCGGCGAGATCAATCAGAGTGCGAATCAGAGAGATTGCAGGTAACGTACCTGCAAGATTGCAGGTAACGTACCTGCAATCTCTCTGATGTTGCAGTTGTTCATGGGCGATGGTCGACAATTACTATCAGAAAAATTTGATTCAGTGTGGGCGAAACCGAGGTTGGAAAGCTAATCAAATATAAAAATTTTGTAAATATATACGTGGTCTGGACAGGCACAGACAGAAAAGGCCAGTGGGGAAGCGCACATTCGTAGTTAGCCTTGAGCTGTCGAAACTCTATACCACTGACGGCAGGTGTCTATGACTTCAGTAACCACTTACCATCAAATGGAATCTAAGTTCGATTGTTACTTCAGTATTATAAAAATCTGAAACCGCGTGCAACTTACATGAATCAAAAAGGCATATTATTAAAAATCATATTCAAAAACTCCGTTACATAGATACATACCAAGCTAAGCGTGTTAAAAATCGAACAGAAGCATTCACAAAATTCTTAACGCTTTACAAATAAATTTCTCGGCAATTGCAGAGTGCAAGATAACGTTTTCATATTACACCGTACCTAAAATCCTTAAAAATATTACATTACCTACCTGTTCAGCTATCGTGTTCCAGTCGGAACTGTTAAGACCAAGTCTAACTTCGCTAACATTTCCTTCCAGTGCCAATACATTATTCACGAATTCTGGTTTATGTTTGTGCAGACTATCGAATACCTGTTAAATTTAAATAGGTTAATAAATTAAATCGATTATTAAAATATAAAAATTAAATGTACAAATAAAACGGATACAAACCGGATCCATTAGAATATCGTTCGCCCGTTGCTGTGCAGTTTTGTTTTTTTTTGATCTCAGCAATAGAAATACTTTATTGACATTACAAGACCTTTTGAAAAGAAACATAATATGAATATCACAATAAATTCACAATATAACAAAAATTTTAGGTAATTTCTCAGATATGTAAACGAGATCGATTTCAAATTCATCCTATTAAAGGAATCACACCTGCGCACAGGTGTTCATTACTAAAAGGGTTTTGGAGTAAGAAAACGTCCGACTTGCTGCCTTATATTTATTAGTGGACTTATCATGTCCTTGAAATACTTTCTTAAGTTCTTAAACATCCACGTTTACTCAGTATGTTGTCCTACACCGCTGAGCACGTGGATCATCAACGTTAGAAATAGTGATCAACAATTTTAATGGTGCTGGCGGGGATCGAATTCGAGATGCTTGCGAACTTTGAAATGTAAAGTAAGTGCTTATCCCCCTGAGCCACCACATCTACTAAATATTTATGTGTAAGGACGATTATTGGAACCTGTTCTTCTTGATTTTGTAATAAGTAAGCCACGCTGCAGCTATATAATGGTTGTAGCATAAATGGGTCGGCTGGATCGGGGTAGGACCACGCTTTCACAGAATACCAGCGTTCGATTTCGTATGATAAGTGTAGAGAACCGGAGACCCGTTTTACTGGAAACGAGGCATTCCATCTTAATCCTCAGGGGTAACAACGCATCTGCATTTTGATTCTTTATTGAATATAATAGTAGATATCTATGGAGCGCAGTATCCACTTATCATGAGGTGAACTGTGTACCCTATTTTCACCCTTATTCTATAAAAGAACTGTAGGTGAACGAGTAATTGTGTACACACGTATGAATTGAAACTGCTTTACGACACATCATTCCTTTTTTATTTTATATTTTACAAAAGTAGGTTAAATAATAATAATATGTGTTAACCCATGAAATTGCTGTTCTGTAATACTGGTCATTTCAAATCAAAATAATTTTTGTTGGCTGAGAATTCTAATTTCAAATTAATTTTATTTTAAAAACATGGAATTCTTTTTTCAAATTAGTCATTTGTTTTTTTTAATAAGGGTTATGTTTTCATCGCATTTGAATCTTTTTATTCATCATGGATGTGTTAAAAATTATGGAATATGAGTACAGTCATAGCAGCAACGCGGCACAAGCGGCACACAACATCAATGACGTTTACTAAGCGAATATTACAAACGAACGCACCACCTGTTATTGGTTTGCCCGCTTTCGTTCTGGAAATTTCGACCCGAAAAATGAACCCCGTGGTGATCCTACAACTGGTCGACAATGACAAATTAAAGGTGATTGTGGAAGCTGATAACATTCAATAAACGTCAAAACAATATTGGTCCATTTGAGTTAAATTGGTAAAATAAACAAGCTTGACAAATGGGTGTCCTACGAACTCAATGATCGCCAGCACAAAGTACGCGTCGAGACGTGCCTTGCAACGGGCACACAAACGAAGGAGTTTTGAACAGCATTATTACCTGAGACGACAAATTGATTCTGTTTGACAATCACAAACGCTCGGCACGTTGGTTGGATCCTTGTTCAGCACCTAAGCAATCATCGTCATCATTATAGCCTTTCATAAGTCCACTGCCGAACATAGGCCTCCCCTAAGGAATGCCACAAAGCACGGTCCTGGGCCAACTGCATCCTTAGACTTCCTGCATGTCTTACCTAGTCGTCACTCCATCTCGTTGGGGGTTGCCCTACACTTTGCCTACCGGTACGAGGCTACCACTAGAGAACATTTCTTCCCCATCGGTTGTCGGTTCTTCGAGCTATATGGCCGGCCCACTGCCACTTCAGCTTACTAATCCGTTGGGCTATGTCGGTTACTCTGGTTCTACCGCCTATATCCTCATTTCTAAGTTTATCACGCAGAGAAACCCTGAGCATAGCCCTCTCCATAGCTCGCTGAGCTTTCTCATACGGCCAGCAGTGAAAGACCACGTCTCAGATCCGTAAGTCATCACTGGCAACACGAACTAGTTGTACAATTTCGTTTTAAGGTTTTGAGGTATGTCTGACGAAAAGATGTGTCATAGTTTCCCGAACGCTGCCCAGCCGAGTTGAATCCGTCGATTGACCTCTTGGTCAAAGTTGGACTTACCTAGTCGGACTATTTGTCCCAGGTAAACATACTCGTCAACAACTTCGAGCTTAGTGCTCCTAACAACTACCGGCATAGGTGTGACATGGACGTTAAACATGATTATTGTTTTGTCCATGTTTATCTCAAGACCTATCCGTTAGGAGACACTATTGAGGTCATTGAGCATAGTGCTTAGGTCCTCCACCGATTCTACAATAAGGACTATATCGTCAGCAAATCGATGGTGAGTGATGTACTCGCCATTGATGTTAATTCCGCATCCTTTCCAGTCTAGCAGCTTGAAAACGTCTTCCAATGCAGCGGTGAAGAGTTTCGGGGATATAACGTCAACCTGTCTTACACCTCTCTGCAGTTGGATAGGTTTCGTACTCTGATTCTGTACTAGCTCTACTGTACAAGCACTTCAAAACTTCGATATACCGACAGTCAACTTGGCACTGCTTAAAGTACTGCAGCACCGCCCAAATTTCGATGGAATCAAAGGCTTTCTCATAATCCACATACGCAAGGCAAAGTGGCAGATTATACTCCTCTGTCTTCTGTACAATTTGCTGAAGGGTATGTATGTGGTCTATGGTACTAAAGCCTTGTCGGAAACCGTCTTGTTCGGGAGTCTGGAAGTCGTCAACTCTGCGTGCAAGACGATTCGTAATGAGTCTCGAAAACAGCACGTAGACGCGGTTTATAAGGGAAATCGGTCTGTAGTTCTTCAAGAGAGGGTTGTCGCCTTTCTTGAAGAAAAAGACCACCGCACTTCTGCTCCACGCCTCCGGAGTAGTGCCACCATTGAGGACGGAATTAAAGAGCTTCTGAAGGACTTCAAGTAATGGTTTTCTACACGCTTTCAAAAGCTCCGCTGTAATTCCATCCTCGCTCGGGGACTTTCCGTTTTAAGGTGCTGAAGAGTTATTCTAATCTCGCTCAGACTAACGTCCGGGATGTCTCCGGAATAGTGTCGGATAAGACTCGCTCTTGGATCGTTACTCACACTTGCGTGTGGCTTCAACGATGACGTGTACAGCTGCCCATAGAACCTCTCAATCTCACTCAAAATCTCAGGTGTCCCAGAAACGTTGCTGCCACAATTGGTCTTCAGCTTTGACAGTTGGCTCTTTCTGGCAGACAGATCTCTGGCAAAGACTTTGGAGCCTTGGTTCCGCTCGATCGCTTCTTCAATACAAGCTGTATTGAAGTTGCGCAAGTCCCGCCGCATGCATTTGGAGATCTGTCTGTTCAGTTGCCTGTATGCTGTATATAATCTGTTGAAGAATGTAGCTTCATCTCCCGTCTAACAGCCATACGATTAAGAGTGTGATAGAAGAGTTTTTGTGTTCTTCTGCGGCGGGTCTTGCAGAACTTAGCTCCGACCGCATGGACAGTTTCCACGAGCTTGTCATTCATATCATCCATTTCATTGCAGTCTTCTAGGCACTGAAAACGGTTTTGTAATTCGAGCTGAAAGGTTGCGGGACTTTGGAACAGAGCACGAGGGGGACGGAACGTTGACTTCATTAGACGAGACCTCTCCAACTTATCGTTTAGGTTCAGTGTGCCTCTAACCATTTGGTGATCGCTACCAGTTTTAACCCTCGCGATCACGGAGACATCACTGAACAGTTGTCGTCTGGTCGTCATAATGAAGTCAATCTCATTTTTGTCGAACCGTCGGGGCTCGACCAGGTCCACTTCCTGTGGGGCCGCTTCTGGAAGAAAAACTTGGTCATAAAGAGTGCCTCTTTCTCCATGAAGTCGGCCAGCTGCTGGCCTCTTGGGTTCCGTTGCCCTATTCCGAATTTCCCTACTTTCGGCTCACCGTTCTCTCTTGTGCCTAGTTTTGCATTGAAGTCTCCCATTTACACCGTATAGTGGGTTTTAGAGGAATGCATGGCTCTAAAAATATCCTCATACATTTCCTCCACCTCCTCATCGGGGTGTGCCGAGGTGGGTGCGTAAACCTGTATGACCTTCAGCGTATACCCTTTGGTGATTCTGAGTATAAGGTAAGCAACCCTCGTCGACACACTCAATCTTTACAACGCTGTTAACGAGAGACTTGTGGACGATAAATCCAACAGCTCCTTGGGACAGATGGTCGCCGTCACGGTGATAGAGCAAGTTGCCGGATTTGAGGATTACCGTGTCCTCCCCCTCTCTTCGGACCTCGGATAATCCTATAATATGCCAGCGTAACTTGTCTATCTCTTCTTCCAGCTCCACGATCTTCTCGTCAGTCCTCAGGGTGCGTGTGTTGTATGATGCCAGGTCGAGTCGTCTTAGGTGGCAACCGAATCTCCACCGGAGATTCTTAGTACCCCCTACCCTTCCGTTACCATGGTCACCACCGTAGCCAGGAATAGCAGGGCCGCCAGGGACTGGGGGCCGTCTCTATGTTACTCTCATCATAGGGGGGGGGTATTTGCCATAGTTGCCACGCTTGGCGAGCGGGTTGGCAAACGCAGTTTTTTATTGTAATTTTGCTGTTATCAGGAAGATGCTGCTGCCCATCTTCTGCCTGTTTCCCTTTGTCGCCTTTTACGACACCCACGGGAAGATATGGGGTAGTGGATATTCTTAACCGCCACTACACGGCTACGCACCTAAGCAATGCCCTAATAAAAAACTTACCCCTAGAAAAGTGATGGTCACTTTTATTGGTCTAGCACCAGTGTAATTATTCACAGCTTCTTACTAAACGGGATGAGCATTACTGCAGATGTTTACTGTAAAGAATTGAACACAATGATGGAGAAGCTCGCAAGTCTCCAACCAGCTTTGGTCAATTGCTAGTCCCCGCTGCTCCTGCACGCCAACGCGCGACCCCATACTGCACATTAGACGGTCTCCAAGTTACACTAGGTGGGTTTGGAAGCTCTACGTCATTCGCTGTACTCACCAGACCTTCCGCCTACAGACTTATTCTGTTTCCAGAATTTGAATAACTTTTTGGCGGGAAAAATATGCAATACCCGAGAGGCATTACAAAATGCGTTTGATGAATTTGATGCCTCCCGTCTAGCTGATTTCGTCAAGAAGGCCATCAATAAACTGCCACCGCGTTGACAAAGATGCATCGATTCATCGTGATCACTTTTATTAATACAATTTAAAAACCATTACGTTAACTTATTTCATAAAAAACGACAATGTCATAGGTAAAGACCTAATAGATACTCATGCAGCCTATTATTTATTCTGTAATGCAGCGCCGGCGGTGAAACGTTACAACAAAACGTGACATTTTTGTTTTTTAATATCTACCATATCTCTACTACGTCCATAAAGAAGTATCATGTCGTAAAAAAGGAAGTTTCCATTTTTACAGACTTCAAAATAGAAGCAGGTTTCTCAAATCTTCTGTTAAGTCTATCTGTTAATGATTCTTCAATCTTTATTTAAGTAGGCTTCTTTTATTAGTATAGTTCGGGGGTAGTCGCATATAAAATTTGAGAAAAAACATTGTCCCCTAATGGTGGAAAAATAGTGAATATAGTTTTTAATGTAATTGTTACCTAGACCTGGTAGGTAGATAGGATAGAGTGAATAGTATATAATACCTAATGCATTGTTTCGTACCGAGCTAGATAAAAGAGTTTGGCTTACGCGCGGATATTGGCCCTAGTCAGCTGATCTTATGATTTATTTATTTTAAATTTCACTGCTGGTTTAATGTTTAAATATTTTCATGATTTTTTTATTGAAATTAACATTTTATTTAGCTGTAGCAACATGATGGGGCGTGAATAAAGCTAATAAAACGTTGCGAAAAGATGATTTTTTTTTTCCTCAGGATTGATTTTATTTCTCATTTTTATTTCTTACTCATCATCAAAGGTATAGGTTAGTACTGTCGTCTGTCTTCGTTTTCGGGAGCGTTTCACAAACACGGTATTCGAAATTCTAATTGCTACGTAGACCTCTTCTTACCTTACATATTTACCCGAAACGGTAAAAGAGCAACGCTAAGAAGTAGTGTATTTCATTAAAGCTCCAACTTCAGAAGCTATTGCGTACAAATATTTTTATTATTTTTAGTTCTATTAGTCGGTTTTTAATTTTTCAATAAAATATAAATAAATTGATTTAACACCTTCGACACATTAATACTATTTAAAAAAGGTTAAGTGAATTCTTTTTAATTTTCCCTGAATCTATAAAGAGGGAAGTTCCCTAATACAGAAAACACCAAAATAACTTACTAAGAAACTCCAACAATGGAAATATGAAATGATAATAAATAAAATGAAATGTAACTGTGTCAAATAAAATAAAATATTTTGTATTTGTATTTCTAAACTTTTACCTGAACAGTTTCTCAACTAGAAGTTTTCCGACAAATCCCGAGCCGCCGGTAACAAAAACTGTGGAGCCGGCATAAAATCTTTCTATTGAAGAGTTTCCACTTGCCGTTATCGCCGCCATCCTATGCTGACGCATCGATGCTTCCTTTTCCAAAGCAAACATTACTTCCATGTCTGTTATAATAAAAGTAATATAAGCTCTGTATTATAAAATTATAACTAGACAAAATTAACCTCTAAAGTTGATATTTTTCGAACAAGGCGAGAATAAATTCTTAAGTTTTTATTTCATACGACAAGCACTACGTTAAAGTTACAGCCTATATACGTCCACTGCTGGACATACACCACTCATTTCTGAGAGGGTTTCAGTAGTTTAGTTGCCCTATCGATGTTGAGATCAGTCGGAAGTCATTCAATGAATGGGCGACAGTAGGAGTCCATAAGAGCAGGCATAGGTTATATGATCTTTGCTATGAAAGGTCATATAATCATAACGTCGAATTTAGGGAATATGTAAAAAAATATGCAAAAATATTTAAAAGATAGTGCTCCATAGCCAAGTCTTTGCATTTGAGCAACAAAATTAAGACGGCTTCCAATAAAATTAAAATGACATGGATTATAATTAATAGCGAAACTGGTAAGATCAACTCTCGCAATTCAAATTACAAGTTAAGTGTTAACAACAAATTAACTGTATCAGATCAGGACGTAGCAATGGTTTTTGAGAAATATTTTACTGATATTCCGATCTTGACCACTAAGTCACTGAATTCTTCTCCTGCGGTCGCCGAATCATTACTTAAACAAAATGTAAATGCTCTGAACTGATGCCGGTGTTGAGCTGATTAAATATATCTTTAATGCATGGGAGAATTCACAGGATGTTTTGGGTATATTTTGTGACCTATCCAAGGCCTTCGATTGTGTTCACCATGAAACATTAATCAGGAAACTTCAACACTACGGTGTAAGAAGTGATGCTCTTAAATTAATTATTTCATATTTAAGTAAGAGAACGCAAAAAGTTGTCATTAACAATATGAGCTCTTCCGGACCGATGGTACAAATGGGCGTGTCTCAAGGCTCAATTCTCGGTCCCTTTCTGTTTCTTGTATACATTAATGACTTACCTTACTTAGTAGGGGATAACCATGATATAGTATTATTTGCAGATGACACTTCTTTAATTTTCAAATTAAGTCGACAATTACTAGAATATGACGAAGTAAATAATGCTATATCTAAATTAGTAAATTGGTTCAATGTTAATAATTTGCATTTAAATGTCAAACAATTAAATACTAATGTAATTTTAAATGGGGAGAAACTGAGTCTTGTAGATACCACCATTTTTCTTGGAATCACACTAGACGCGAAGCTTCAATGAAGCCCCCATATATCAAAACTAGCAATCAGACTTAGTTCTGCAGCATATGCTGTAAAAAAGATTAGAAGTCTAACCAGTGTTGAAACAGCTAGACTAGTTTACTTCAGCTACATCCATAGCATAATGTCGTATGGTATTTTGCTATGGGGACACGCAGCTGACACTGAAATTATATTTGTTTTGCAGAAGAGGGCCATAAGAGCAATTTATGATTTAAAGCGTGAAGAGTCGCTGCGACAAAAATTTAAGGAAATTAATATATTAACTTTGGCCTCTCAATACATTTATGAAAATGTAATGTACGTACACAAAAATAAAAGTAGTTTTACAAAAATAAGTGATATTCATTCTGTAAATACTAGGAACAGACACAAGCTAGTAGTACCAGTTACTCGACTCCATCGAGTCAGTAATTCATTCTTGGGGCGATGTATACGCTTTTACAACAAAATTCCAGAAAATATACAAAGTTTGACCTGTTCAAAGTTCAAAAACTTTATTAAACTAAGTTTGTATAAAAAGGGTTATTATAATATTAAGGAATTTATGGATGATAATAACCCCTGGAAATGAAGTGATCGCTACCAAGCTATTTCTAATTTGTTGTGTTGTTAATGTGTGTAACATCATGATTGTAAGCTTTTATTTAAAAAAAAAAAAGTCCCGCTGGGTTTCTTGCTGGTTCTTCCCAGGACAGAGGTTTTTTCCGAACCAGTGGTAATCAAACAAAAGAGTGACTTTCAATAAGTATTATTTATAATCTATATTGAATAAAAAAGTTTCTGTTTCTGTTTCTGTTTCAAAAAACACGGGTTGCTGGCGTTCTGTCGTTTTTACAGAGATTCTATCATAAGAATATTACCCGATTAATCCGGATTGTGTTTTTCTCACTCCTTTGATTTATAAGTGATATTTTGTATAACATGTTTTAACATGTATCGTGTTATTTTATATTTGTATTGTATAATTTTATTTCTTTAGTTAAAACTAAAATTAACATTAAAATTATATAAATGTGTTTAAGGAAAAGCAAGAGTTAATTTGTAAACTTAAGGCTTTAACAAGCCTGAATGACCTTGACGAAACGGCGATCGCAGAGATTTCAGGCGACGTCAACACCGTCTAGCAACTACGTTCTATATTACTTATAAAAGTGCAAAGATTAATAGACTGCAGAGATGACAATTATATAAGTGACATACTGCCTGTTATGCTTGCGCATCACTGAGAATTATGTCGCGGTTACGCATCTTCAATTACATTGTACTGTAGCTTAGTC